AAAAAAAAAAACCGAGCATTTCGACTACATACTAAATAAATCCGGATAAAATTGTTAACGAGCACCAAAAATCACGAAACTTAATATATAATCTCCTCAACATGAATAAAGTCCAAGGTCAAAAGATCAATTTCTTTGTCAACACTTATCACGTTTAACTCGAAATTACTACGACCGACAATTTACTCGAACCACTAGTTCGACTACCAAACGGCCACTAATAATTAATCCGATTATACCTTAAGCCTCAAGTAAACGGGGAGAATTTAATCATATTTATTTCAGCATTTTATTACGACTCTATCAAAAGTCCCTAAAAAATCGCTTTAAGCTCGTATGTCCCGATTTTAACCAAAATCACTCAATTCAACATCTTTTTATCTCTTATCTCACTATAATCGTCAAGTATAAGCCATATAATTCGAATTTTAGCTATTATACCTTAAATGTTCGAAAACGAGCGGATCGGAAAATAGATCGGGCTAGGGAGAGGAAAAATAGAGCAACCGGTTCGGGCTAGGGGCTATTCGGGCCGGTTCTTGGGCTGTGGAGCTGCTGACCGTGTCAAACTTGAGGTGTTGGGCTCGGATCTGAACCGAGGTGGCTCGATTTTGCACTGATCGAGGCTCGGGCTCGCTTGTGGTGGTCGGAAACGGGACAACGACGACTTACCGACGTGAAGGAGCTGCGGGTTAAGCTTTTTCTGGCGTGAACTCGCCGAAAGTCAGGACTGAGACGTGCTGGTCGCTTGTCGGAGCTGTTGAATCTCGCTGCTACAGTGACGCCCGGAAGCTGCGGGATGCCGGAATGAAAGTTGCGAACTGAGAAGCTCGCCGGAAATGGTGGCTTTTTTTTTCAGCGTGAATTCGTCTGGACGACGCGGAGGAGAGCTGGTGACGGGGTGTCGTCAGAGCTGTGAGGAGGTGGCGGCGAGCTAGTGGTCGCGGCTGAGGAGCGACTGAGAGGGCGTGGATGCGGGTCGCCGGCGTTGGACGTGCGTGATGGGCTCGAGCTTGGGGTCGCTGGAAAAAGGGGCTGAGGAAGGAGCTGTGGTGGTCGCGGGCTTGCTGTGCTCGGTGGATGCCGCCGGAAGACATGGCTGAGGATGGCCGTGAGCTAGGGTTGCATGAAGGTTTTCGACGGTCTGAGAGCTGAGGTTCGCCGGCTCGCCGGAGCTGTGGTGGTCGGCCGGAAAAGTAAAGATGGTGGTGGACCTTGAAGCTCAATCCATGGTTATGGTGATTGAAGGTAAGCTTGAACAAGATGAATAGTATTTTTTTCTCTCTCTCTTAATGAGGATTTTTTTTTTTTTTTTGG